ACTATTATTTTTATTTTTCTTACTATAAAAATAAGCATCACACTTGGTTTCACCTTTGAGACTATAATTTTTTTTTATAATTTTTTTACGCCTATTTATGTGAATGGAAGACGTACTTTGTTGTACGATTCAGGTGGAAGACGACATTTTCTAATATTTTTATGTTCATATCAATGTGTACACCAAGTTTCATCCATGCGAAAATGATTTTTTTTATATTTTTTTTTTACTGGAAATGCTATTTAAATAACTCATATTCAAAAAATAAAGTTTGCGAAAATGATTTATTGAAATCTGTCATTACCTCCCGGACTATAAGCTATATTTCATACTGTCAACATATAAATACAAACAGTGGCGTAGCCACGGGGGGGAGGAGGTTGGGGGGTCAGAACCCCCAATGGAGGATCCTCGCGTCACCATTTCCGCTATAGTATTGGTGCTGATCGCTATTGACTGTTTGTTTTTTATTCACTTTCTTGATGGGACCCTCCCATAGTTCTCAAAAACCTCTCCCATGAAAAATGGCTGGCTACGCCATTGAATACAAATAGTTTGTAGTTATTTTTTAATAAACGATTTTTAAAACGGAGTTCCCAAATAGCACACAACATCCCCAGGATATCCTGTCAATATCCTATTCATAGCGCATATCCCGGGACATTCCTCGTATATCCTAAAGATATAGCAATACCTATATACCTCGTATATACGACAATCTATATCCTAGGTATATCCTATTGCTGCGTTTGAGAATCCACATCGGATGCATTTTTTACATCTCGAGCGTTTTTTTATCCACATCGGACACATCTGTCCCATTACATTTACGTATACTGAACCACGAGATCAAAGATTTTTTACATCTCAGATGTATCCGATGTGGATTCTCAAACGCAGCAAAGATACATATAACGAGGACTTGCCAGCTTAGTTCTAGATGCCGAGGCCAGTTTCTTCTTTTTTTTCTTTCGAATATTATCGGATCGGAAGAGATTTTAAGGTTATGTTTTCAAATAATTTTTAGAAGCGAAGCGTGTGTAACTGTGTAGCATGGGCGAAGTTAAGGGGGGGCTTGGGGGGGCTAAGCCCCCCCAAAAACCAAATTAGCCCCCCCAAAAATAATTCGAACATTTATCGCACATCCACCCAAACATTTCAGATTTCAGAACAGAAATTAAAAAATAAAAATAACCGTGCCATTTGATTTATTCTGCAATTTTATATTTAGTTCAGGAGGCAGTGAATTTTTTTCGTATTCATTTTTCCAGTCGCTGTATACGAAAAATAAACTGACAAAAAACAAAATTTTTGAGTCTGACACTTATTTTCCCAGTCATAACTATTTTACATTTACTAAACTAGAACATAAAGCTTATAAAAATAGCAGTTTGGATTATCTCAGATAGTGGAAAATTGAGCATATAAATTGATACAATCATGAACTGTTTATAATAATAAGTCTGGCTGATTTACGAAATTGGCTAATGAGTCTGGTAATATCTTCTAAATGGAAAAAATATAATATTTTTGCTTTTATTTTCCCGGGTTTGAAAATTTGTCACGTGATAGATTAAATTATAATTTTACACCTCCATTTTATAGCCAATCAACTGCTGTTATTTCAAAACACTTTCATGACAACCAGAAAAATTTCCGGAAATTTTTCTTTTGGTGGGTACCCTTAACGAAATTATACTGAAAACTTTTTGACAGTTGAGCAGCTCTTTCATGCATATAAAAAAATTGCCATTTCAGTGGTTAATATTTTATTTAATACCAATTATAACTAGGTAGAAATACACTACATTTATTTTATGTAAAATAATAATTAGGTTTTTCGCGTCAACTAAACGACTTCAAATATGACAAATGGTCATGGTATGGCCACAGCATATAAAACATATGTTTTATATTCTGTGGTATGGCTACCTTTGAAAATTTGATTTTAGTCGTTTTAATGCATGTCTGTCAAGTTTTGAAATTTGGATATTTTGGTGTAAAACTTTCTTACCAAATACCAAAAACGTGCCTAAATTATTATCAGTAAATTTTTGCACACTCACGCATATCTTAAGAACTTTTAAGAACATTATCCATCTACTTAGGATAAATTTCAAAATATTCGTAAGTGAAAATACACGTCTGGCTGACAATTACAATTACGGAGGCCTGCCAGTCTCACAAGTAGTGTCCGACCGAAGGTTCGGTTACGGTTTCGGCCAACTTTGGCTTTAAATAATATTTTCGATTACAGTTTCGGTTTCGGCGGAAAACTGGCCGAAACTGCAGCCGAGAGCGAAACTACGTTTAAAGTTTTCGTATCACAATGTTGTGTCCGGCACAATGGCGACTGTGCCGGGTGCCATTCCTACACAGTGCACGTACACACAAACTTCTTTGCTTTGTTTCAAGTGAACATGTCAATAAATTTATTAATGGCTTCTTTTGATCACATAAATAAACAGGTAAAAAGTAAATGTAGCTAAAATTTATAATACGAGTTAATTAGTCTAAAACAAGGATTACAATGAGATATTGCAAATTTCAATAAGAGATTGCCTTAAAAGAAAGTTCTTGTTTCTGTTTCGGCCGAAACTAAGAAAGGAGCCGAAATTTGGTTTCTGTTTCGGTTATAAAACCGTATTTCGGTAGTACCTGACAAGCCAGGTAGTTAAACGAGGAGAGGAATAGTAATCGAACGTGCCGAATTTAGCGCGCCTGACGGTCATTAGACGAGTCTGGCAAGGCTTTCGGGGTGTTCCACATTAGCCAGATTGTATTTTAAGCTGTTATCATAATATACATGTTTCTAGTAGTGAGAACACTTGTAACAGGGACATTGCCAACTAAAATGACACCTTAGTAAACTGAGAGTAGTGCAGATTTTGTGAGGAGAAGGAAAAAATCTTCATTCACATTCTAACTAAATGTGTAGCACTTCAGAATCCAAGGGCACTATACCTAGGAGCATATCAAATAGAAGAGGGAGATTTACCTAACTTGAAGCCACTCCAAATCCTACACTTCCTTGAGAAGATATAATTGGAAGGATCTTTATTCGCGATTCAAGTTAAGTGATACGCCCTCTGGAGGAAATTTGTAGAAGGTCCCTATAAGTAGGATATCGTTCAGTGTTGCCAGTGCCAGTGCCAGTGTTGAAGAAGTGGATAAGACCTTTTATTTAAGAATCAAAATTTGTGTATAGTAATATGTAATCATACTCTATATTTATTTAAGGACTTTTTTATAAAACCGATTTTATATTAATTTTTTTTTTAATTTCAGTTCATTTATTAATTTTGTTTTAAAATCAATTCATCATTTGGCAACGAGTTCATTGTTTACATTTTAATTTGTATCAATTACAATTCGAGTTTTTCTTACTTTTTAGCTTTAAATTTGTTTATTTCTTATAGTATGTGATAGTGTTTATGTTAAAAATGAAATCTGCGAAAAAGTCCCCAGCAAATTGCAATCTATATGGTGTTAATGTCAAAATCAAAACTGAAGTATTCATTATTTTCCAAGTGCAAGTCGTAAAATTTAGTTTTTTACCATAAATGGATATCTACAAATTCACAATATTGAAATTTTGCAAAACCTTGTTTAGAATTGATATATGATATATTTTATCCATTTTCATAGATTCGCCAGAATTTTTTTACTTAACTTCAGTAGGTATACCTCTAGAACTATTATATATTATATGACTAGGGCTAGGGCTTTAGCCCCCCCAGATCTGATGACATAACTTCGCCCATGCTGTGTAGTGCATAAAAAACGATAATTGTGATCATATTGTGCAATATTGTGATTGTTCGTTCAGGTAGGTGCAGTATTAATTATAATTATAAACAAATATTACAACTAAAAATGAACTTTTTTTACATGCCAAATTCGGAGGCACTGTCAGTGAATTGCAACAGTTCCTCTGAAATTGAAAATAATGAAACATTGGAAATAGTGTTAACACCAGATATCCAATCATGTTCTTACACATTTAATAACAGCTTCTTGAACAGTATAATCACAAACACATCTACTCAAATATCCAATAATTTATCCCCAGAACATACCGAAGCTAATGTTTTGCCCAGATCTCTTGCTCAATGGGCAATTAATTATAATATTACTTGTCAAATGATTCAACCCTCTCATGACAAATATTGTTTATGTACTAAACTAAAATGCACAGCAAAAAAATATTTTTGCATCAACGATTTATTGCTATTTGTTCTCTTGTAAATTGTATATTACATCCTTAAATAATGAATGTTTGTTTTTGCAGAAGCAGATAAGAGAGCAAAAATATCAACGTCAAAAAAAGAGTGGGAGAAGTCAATTGCTGCATGGCTCAAGAGGGCGAAAGAGCGGCAAGATAGAACACACAAAAAATTATCTTCCCATTCAAAAACATGATTTTTTTAAATATTTAAAATAAATAAAAATTTAAATGAACATCTTTTTTATTCATAAAATATTAATCTATGTACCCTTTAAGTAACCTTTTAATAGCATATGGATGTAGTGTATATCCCGAGGATAAAGTATACGGGATATCCCGGGGATAAAGTATTGGGATATACCGAGGACGTCCCGTTTTTTAACATTGTATATCCTCAGGATGTACTAGGGATATCGCATAGCCGAAACCGTATATCCCGAGGATATAGACTAATATCCCATCGGATATCCTCGGGATATCCCTGGTACAGACTTGTGCTACTTGGGTTAAGGTTATTACGAGTTTATCACGATAAAAATACTTTTTGAATCACCCGATGAATTATGTGTTCTACTAGAAATATTGATTGATATCAGTAATTTTTCTAAAATATCTGTACCTATTTTAAACGAACCACTTTTTATTTATTTTATATCTGACTGTAGCCACAGACAGGCTTAAAAGATGGAAACGGCATTTATCCATTTAAAACTTAAAAAATTAAAAAAAAATTCATTACTTTTTTATTAGATAAATTACATAATATGAAATATCAGATCTTCGTACATTCAAAACTACCGCATGAGCCCCCTGCAAGTCCAACATTGGAGGCCTGTTCAAGTTCTTGAATACTAATATCATAATCTAAAGATGTTTTAAGTGAAAACATTTTTGAAACCTTTAAAAGTAGATCACCGGCTGCTGCGTATTTCTTTGCTTTTTCAGGTTGTTGACATGCTATCTTTTGAAGACAACCAGATGAACCTAAAATGTGATAAAATTACTTTTATAAAAAGGGTGACATTTGAGGAATCTGCACGGTTTGCAACCGCGCGGATCTCATTTACATAAAAGTCTACCAAGCTGTTCACACAAAAGCTATTTGTCTATTAAGAGCGAAAAGTGATACTTTTCCGCTTGAAATAGAAAGTTCCAACAAACTTTTTGTTCAAAATACACACAAGATCTTTCTACAATCACACTTTTTAAAGAAATAGATATAAAAATTGGTTTCAAAAATAGCTATTTTATATCATTTAAATGAAGCTATTTAAAAAAAAATACCATTTATTTTTAACAAAATTGACTAGATCCATTAGATCGAGTTTGATACACGACGTTAAAGTGTAATATCGTCATAGCATCTCCTCTTTATTCCATCTCAAGGTCTCTACTTCAATCTATCTCGATGGGTCCAGCAGATGTTCCAAACACGACCCACCAAACTTACCAAGCATGCACTGCAGTTAAAATATGGAACCTCTATTTTTTAAATTGCGCATGCTTAAAATGATTTAAAAATTGACTTATTACGCTTCAAAAGTTTATAACTTGATCTAGAACAAACCTTTTGTGTAGGAATTTTTACACAAAAATCAATTAAACTTACACTTACTCAATATTTATAGGTCATAGGTAACAATTTACTTGGAAATGATGGGGTATATTTACTTGAAATAAATTCACAACTCAAATATGTATCATGATGAAGCTGTTTTGAGGGCAATACATTTTTTTTTTCAATATATCAATTCTTTAACAGAGGCAGCAAATTCACATAAATATAAAAATCTGATGTGTCCAACACATGACTTTCCTATCTAGGTATTACAGGCTTTTTCCGGTTATTTTGTACAATCTATTGCAGCATCTCTATAAATGTTTAGAGGATAAACTAAATATATACATTGTCCACATACATCTACCGCGAAACATTTTTCTATAGATATTCATTGAAAATGAAAATACTGAAAAATTTAAATTTAGCACTTTTCCTACAATTTTTCCATTACGGTCCATTTTAAAAAAATCATGTATAAACAAATATTATAGAGATCGATATCGCAAACAACTTTTATTTCAACAATTTTCATAAAAATCAGAATTTTGCACATTTTGTCAAATTTTTCGAATACGGACCATTTCAGGAAATTTTTACATAAAACAAAAATTATAGATAATAATATTAGAAGTAACTTTTATTTGAACAATTTTTTTCTTCAAACATAAATAACAGATATATTCCATAAAATATAAAAACGGCCTCCCATAAAGTACCCCCCCAGATGTTCCGACTTTGTCCAAAATCTAATCATTTCACGTCAGGCCGAAATAAAACTTAAGTTTAAAATTTAATGTTTTTTTCTTTATCCATTTTTGAGTTTTCTTCAAATTTCGAAATTTACACATTTTCTCAAATATCTCGAATACGGTCCATTTTAGAGAAATTATCTATAGGATAAGAATTATAGAGAATTATATTACAAACAACTTTTGTTTGAACAATTTTTATAGAAAAAAATATTTTTTTACATTTTGTCAAATTTCGCGAATACGGACCATTTTAGGAAAATTTTGTATATAACAAAAATTATAGATAATAAAATAAGAAGTAACTTTCATTTGAAAAATTTTCTTCCCCAAACGTAAATAACAGATATATTCCATAAAATATAAAAATGACCACCTATAAAGTACCCCCCCAGATGTTCCGACTCTGCCCAAAATCTAATCAGCTCATTAGACGTTGGAACAAAGCTTAAGTTTAAAATTTGGTGTTTTTCCGTGTATCGGTTCATGAGTTATGCGTTATACAGACACACACACACACAGACACACAGACACACAGACACACAGACACACAGACACACAGACACACAGACACACACACACACACACAGACATCATCGCGAAAATAGTCAAAACGGATTCAGGGGACCTCAAAACGTAAAAATCCGTCGAAAACTCGAGGTCGAAAAAAATCATGATTCCTATACTTTCCTTATATCTGTATACAGATAGGAAAGTAAAAATTGAAGCCTATTTTAGATGCAGATAGCTATATAAGAAATCAAAACCATAGATAGCTTCTTCGCTCTAGAATTGAAACTGGAGACAGTCTTAGAAATCCATCTAAGATGCCACTGCAATGAACTACATACCGATTCATCCATCGTACTAGGAACATGGTAAACATGATGACCAATTGACGCTTGTCCGCAACTGTCACATTCAAATTTTGTGCTTTTATCGCGGGCGAAAAGCATTTCTTTAGATTTAAAATGAATGTTTACGAAATTGCTGAGAAAGTACAAATTGTGAAATGGCATTTTCAAGGCAACACAATTCGACAAATAAGCGGTTTGTTTGAGGCGACATTTAAAAATAGGCCCATACCATCACTCTCAACAGTACATCATATTGTTCATAATTTTGAAATTCATGGCTGCGTTTCTCCCAATGAACATAAAAAGACTCGAGTCAATAATAATCAGAATGAACAAGAAGATAGGGATATTATGATTTGTGCAACTGTGGAAGAAAATCCGATGATATCTCAGAGAGAGGTTGCAGAAGTTGTAGGTTCCAGTGAAACCACAGTAAATAGAATTTTAAAAAAACATGGATATCGATCTTATAAAGTAAGAAAATGCCAAGAAATTTATGAAACTGACAATATCAGACGAATGGAATTTAGCGAGGCAGTAATGGATAAAGTTAACAATGACAACAATTTTCTTTACAATGTCCAAGTCCGATATTGGTCTCGAGAAAATTTACATAAATTTGTAACATTTCGCACGCAGTTCCCGCAAAAGTTGAATGTTTGGATGGGAATACTAGGTGAAAATGTAGTCGGTCCTTTTTATATTGAGGGTAATTTAAATAGTGTTAAATATTTGGATTTACTCAGACACCATATTGTCCCTGAGATACGGCGATTGGCAGGAGCTCGATTTAACAATATTTGGTTTCAACAAGAAGGACATTCTGTGCATAATCGTGTGACGGTGCTGCACTTTTTAAATGAAACATTTCCCAACAGATTATTATCAGGGAAAGGTACAATTTTGTGGCCAGCTAGATCGCCGGATCTCGCACCTTGTGATTTTTTTTGTGGGGTTATTTAAAGTCTCAGATATACAAATTCAGGGAAGAAAAAGCTAACGACTTAGATGAGCTGAAAGTGAAAATTTCAGAAGCCGTCCCAATATGTTGGCTGAAATAAGGCGATAATTTTACGATCGCTTGGGGTACTGTCTTGCCCAAGAAGGAGGTCTATTTGAGTACCTATTACATTAAAAATAAATTCGTGTTCTTTTATTATTGATTGTAATTTATTATTGTCTATTGGATTCCATTTTATAATTTTTATTTTTTTGTAATTTTTTAATCTTAGTTTTGTATTTTTTTTTAATCTTAGTTATGTAATTTTTTAAAGTTCGTTTTGTTCTCTATTTTTTAATGTTTGTATTGAATTTTTTTCCATTTGAAAACAAAAAGAAAAATTGTTTTTTATAAATTTTAAACTGTTGCTGTTCTTACTATTGTGGAGGGTTTCAAAAAAAGAGAAAAAAAAAAGAAATGAAAAAAGAAAATGAAAATTAAAAAATAAAAAAAAAATAAAAAAACGTCGGCGCCGAGATTCGATCCTACCTCTATCCGCGTAGGTAGACTTTAAGTACACCTTACCCACTGCGCTACGTCAACAACTATTAAAGTTGTTCAAAATTTTGTCTATTATTACAAATTCTGGTTGATGGTTGCATTATTAAATTTTGCTATTTTCATGTCTGAATATGTTATGTTTGTTCTTTAACTTCATTTATTTATAAAATATTCATTAATACTCAACTCTGTCGTGAAATGTATAAAGTTATTCCAAATATGTCACATGCGAAAGCTTTGGAATGACAGTAGCGGACAAGGGTAAATTGGTCATCAGTTTGACCGTGTTCGTAGTATCGTGGATGGATCTGTATATTAACAAATGAAAGCTGAATGTGGATATCATGGATGGAGTTCACAAGATGAGAAAAATCGTTATTATTAATTTTACGACAAAATATCATTCTTTATAAAAATAATGCTGGTCCAGAAAATGAGATTACCATAAATAACTCTTATATCGGATAATGAATCAATAAAACGTGAAAATGTTTAAAGAGAGAATTACTTACCATTATTTAAAGTAAAATGTTTATGAAAGAAAGTTGTTTGTAATTCAAAATAAAGCCTAAGTACAAATTATAAAACAAAAAATATGATAGAAGTATTCTTCCAAGATACCGAAGTCCAAATACTGGTCAGCAGCCATTTGGCCAGGGTATCCAGTGGCCGAAAAAATGAAAGTTAAAATTTGCTATAGCATTTAAAAACTACGTTTCATTATAAAAACTGCTTGTAATTTTTTTCACAATTTTAAAATTATATTTTCAGCCCTCTACCAGCCTCCAAAATAGCTTAAAATAAAATTAAAATTAAATGTAAAATTTTAATTAGCTATACCCATTATAAGCTGTGTTTAAGCACTGTTTGGTATTTTTTTCTAAAGCCTTACGGATATAGCCGAATTCATAATTAAAGTGTATGCCCTAATGAAGTTTAATATTAAACTAAATTTCAGTTCCACTAGTAGTAGTTTGCATGTATTTAGAACGATTGAACGGTATTTAAGAGATGATTTAAAAAGTATTGTGGATACGGTAATTCAAAGAAACGCGTATTTTATACAACCTGAAAACATTATTTTGTGTGTGCTAAACATACCCTCGTGAATGGGTTCGGGAACTATCTCTATGAAGAATATTAAAAGCTAGAGGAACCAGTCGAGAAACCGTTGAAGTAAGATACTTTGTGGTTCCAAAAATTAATTTCAGTGCTACCGACTACTTTGAGTTAATTTACTGGAATGAGTGCGATGTGGCACCGCTAGAAACATTCAAAAGTAAACTACAGTTTAAAATTAAGTAAATGTTTTTTTTATTATGATGTTTTTTTTGTACTTGATGTATTAGCTTTTTATATTTGATTTGTTAGCTTCTTATGTTTGATTTCTTTAGGTACTTTTTCCATTTTTTAAATAATCGTGTAATATTTATTTGTCGTGCAAATAATTTTTACCTTATCTTTAAAAGATAAGAGGATTAAACATTGGTTAAAAGGGGTAGTAGAGGGCTGAAGATGTTATTTAAAAATATAAAAATAAAAAGTGTTAATACAAACACTAAATTATAACTTTCAGTAGGTATTGTACGTCAAAATTGTAAACTTTAACCACAGTTTATAGCTAAAGAATCAGTTCGCTCACTCTGCGTTGGCACTTTTGATCTCAATGTTCCAGTTTATACACTGCGGAACTCGGATTTGTATCCCTGGCGCATACAGAATCAAATCATAACCAATACAATATATGACAACCGCCTACTGTATTCAAACAGCGGTCTTCTGCGCATCCTAAATTTGTATCCCTGGAGTGGATGTTATTTTGGAACATTCAACTGGTCCAAGTGAGCGAACTGGTCCAAGTGAGCGAACTGATTCTTTAGCAATAAACTGTGCTTTAACTTTTCACTTCGAAAGGGAGTGGTAGAGGGCTGAAAATATGGATTTAGAAATTTTACAAAAATTACGAAAAGTAAGCACAGAAAAACGCAAATTATGATAGGTATTGTCAACTTAATTTTTATTTTTTTTTTAAATAAGTCTATTTCGGCCCAGCCTAGTGTCGAGGCTACAGCGAAAACCATTACTTGCAACTGGAAATTTTAAAAGGGTCCAGTTGTAGATACAACCATTCAGTTTTAGTTTCGTAAAACTTCCAGAAGGAACTATCTCTTAAGGAGGGGTCAATCCTGTCATACTTCAAGCCCTTAAGTCCCTCTCTGCATTGTTTGGGCCCTTACGGTCCCACATGTTCGATTACCAAAAATATTTAGAGAAATACGTAAATGCGATATACGGAGTGGCCCAAAAGTCTGGAAACCGCCAATTATCTCGTAAATTGCTAATCCAAATTGTACAAAATTTGGGGTACACCTATTTTGGGATACGGAGATTTCACATTTGATATTTGCAATGTTGCCAGATTTGCCGTTTCTTTTATATTATTAGTCACTTTGGTTTTTTAAATTCATCACCCTGTATATTCAGTCATTATTGGAATTCCCTATTTAATACGAGTTCAACCATATGTAACACTTATGATTTTATGTAGTCTGGAAGGTCTTAAATAAATGAAACAATCATGGAGAAATGTGATAGACGCATTCTACCATCGATTAGGGTACTGTCAACTCACCAATGGAGCACATTTTGAACACTTGATAAAGTAACCATTATGTTAAAAATGTTATAATCTTTCAATTATTACGTTTTAATGTAGATGAAAATAGTTTGTATTAAAAAATTTATTGAGACAATTAGGCGTTGCCAGACTTATTTTATTTATTTAAGATCTTCCAGGCTACATAAAATAATAAGTGTTACATATGGTTGAACTCGTATTGATAAGGAGATACCAATAATGACTGAATATACAGGATGATGAATTTGAAAAACCAAAGTGACTAATAATTTAAGAGAAACGGCAAATCTGGCAACATTGAAAATACCAAATCTCGAATCACCGTATCCCAAAATAGGTGTATCCCAAAATTTTGTACAATTAGGACTAGCAATTTACGAGATAATTGGCCGTTTCCAGACTTTTGGGCCACTCTGTATAAATTAGCATAAGTATTTGAGCATAAATAAATAAATTAATTGGTGCCTTAGTGTAAATAAATTAATAAATAAACTGATTAAAATAAATAAATTTTACAGTATTTAGGTTCAAAAATCAATATTTTTATGAAATCATAAACATACAACGCTTTCATGTATTAAACAATAAGCTTTTAGAGTTCATAAAAATTAGATACAAATGAATCTATAGGATTTCCTTATTAGGTCCAAGACTAGAGCTTTTACCTTAATCTACACTATTAAATCATTTACCTGTTAAGTAACTTAAGTACATTAAAATTTCATCATCTGTAAAAAACTTTTCGTGTTCGACTTCTCGATATTCTCCGCCTTTCCAATGGTTAGCTCCTATTGAAGTAGCCGCAAAAACCAAAGCTTTCAGAAGGACCAGAACTAGTAAATTGCTTATATTCAAGGACACTATTTGGGAAGCTCCTGCAGCAGTTCCAGTTGTAATAAAGCCTCTATTAATAAAACCTGATGCTAAAGATGATAAAATTCCTCTTGCATTGAATTTCCTAAAACCAAAAAAAATAAAAAAAAAATAGCTAGCAAATTCTGGTATAAATTTCTAAACAACCAAAAGTGAAAACAAACAAAAAAATATTAAAAAATCCTCGTCTTAATCGCTTGACTATCAGGGCGTTTAACATCCTGCGATCGAGAACATTATTTGAATAGAAAAGATTTAAATCCCTGATCCCTTTAATTTTTTTTTTAGGTGTAACAACAGCATCGTCGGAGGACCGTCAATTCTGCATGCAATAATCCTTCGTTCCTCATAAAATATTTAAGTTTCATTTTGTACGGATAAGCGCTGTGATGGTCGAGCGGTTACGATAATGTCTCGGAAAATCAGAAACAGCAGCTTCAAACCAGCCGGGAGCGCGATTTTTTACATTTTTCACTGTTTGTTTTTTCACTTTCAATTGTTTAGGAATTTAAGGAGCGTTTAGTCAGCCTGATTTTGTTTTAAGCACTAACAGATAATAAAAAAAAACATTAAAGGATTTTAAAACAAAACCGTTTATACAGAAAATTTAAGCATTAACATAAGATTTGACAAATCATTCAAAATGGAAAAAAGGCATATGGTAGATGCTTCTGAAATTGCTCTTCTAACTATCTCACAATTACTATTAATAAAAGTGCAGAAAAAGTGTTTAGAAGTTCAAAAGTTTAAAGTTAGGAAAATAGCTTGACCTCACTTTTTGAACGCATATGCGCAATTGTATTGTCAACATAAATTTAGGCATTAAGTTGGATTTTATTTATCTCAAGTATGTTTATGTTAATGTTTATGCGATGTTATTCTGTATGAACGGGTACATTGAAATGTATTGAATTTAATTTTTATGTTAAGCTTGAAACTAAATCAGGCTGACTAAATGCAGCTTTTTTCTTGAATTTACTTATTTTATTAATGATAAGATATTTATTACGAAAAATTAATTTCCCTTTCTTTACATTTATAAATACCTACTTATCATACTTTCAAATAAGAAAAATGTTAAAATTCTTTGAACCGCTCTCCTTGTCAAAACTCAAAGTTTCTGAATTCGAACGCTGTACCCGTATTGCATATGATAGTAATTTAGCTTTGTATTTAAAATTCCGCCCGAACAATTGAGAGAGTAATTCCTTGTATAACAAATTGTAGAAAATGTTAGATAAAATTTCTATTTTCTATAAATGACATGTTTTTAGCAACTGTTCTCATGTAACCTTCAGTTATGAAGAGTCGCGGTTAGTTTTAATTTCTGTAAAATTTCTGTAATTAGTATACGGGTTTATTGTAAAGGTTTTCCTAACACCGTAATGTTAAGATGGTCCTTCGATTTAATAGATTTTTTAAAGTTTAATCCGGTATGTTTTATTTCTGTAAATATTTTTTCTTGCAAAACGAATCAGTTAATAAACACTGGCTATGGAAGATACAGGGCGCTATGGTCATAGATTGGTAGGTTTGAAATTCAAGAATTCACACCCCTTAAAAAAATATTTTAAAAAGAACTGTAAGCTCCGACATACGTAAATTTTTCCAAGGCCCACTTTGGTAATACGTTTTTCTGAATCACTCCTTAGAATTGTATGAAATATGGATTCTTAGTTGATCATAAATTATAAGTTATAGGCTTCTTGCCTAACCTTTTCATTCGTGCGTAATATAAAGGGTATTTCAGAAATATTTTCGTTTATTAATCCGTTCGCTGGCGCAATAGGCACATTCCCGAGAAAGAAGGCAGTTGGCAAATGGTGGTCGACAGTCGACATGGAGGAAAGATTATTAAGAGTTGCCGTTTCTTTGTAGAAATTTGGCAACATGTTTGCTTGCAACGACCTGTGGGGTGGAGGAGTAGAACTAATCTTACTCTGTCGGTAATGTAGTTACCAGCAGTATTACCATCAACTCTTACTCTGTCGGTAATGCAGTTACCCGTAATTTTATATTTAATTTGAAAATTGGCGGGTTTTTTTAAAGGAGAATTTACTTTTGCAATTATTTTCTAACTAATACGAAATATAGCCATACAAAATTTTGATAGTAATTTTTTTAATTTTTTAGTGAAATAAAAAACATGTACGTGTAGCTCAAATATGTTCCTCTGGAGCCACTTTTTCAAAATTTAATTAAATTTTGATGGCAATAAATCGCAAAATTTTGTTTTTATAAAGATTTCAAAAATTGACAAAATAATTAAATCAAATTTCAGAATAGTGGCTCCAGAAAAACAGACATTTCACTTTTACCTGAAGGTATATATTTTTCATTCACTAAAAAGTAAAATTAAACTATAGAAATATGTGTGGCTCTATTTCGTATTGTTTAGAAAAAGATAATTGCTTAAGTAAATTTTCCTCTTAATTATAATTAAAATTTTCCTTTTTTATTAGCTGTTTGTAACAATTATGAAATGCCCAATAAAAATGTAAAATTCTATGACAAATAATTATGAGGGATAAAATAAATATCATCATCAAAGTTTTATATAATTATATTTACTAAAAATTCCCAAGAAAAATAAATAAAAAATATATCAGAGATGGCAATACAAAAAAATATTTTTCATGCACTTCACCCCCATACAAGCGAGCTTATGCGAAGCAAGAATGTCTATTATTATTATTATTTACTATGGCGCTCCCGGACGTCTTATAAATGATTCTTTAAGAAAGTTACTCTAATATCACAAACATTACATTACTATTTCAGTACGTTATCTATCTTTGGCTAACAAAAATCAGAAATTGCATAACAAATAATTAATTTACTTGATATGAAAACTAATGCCTAAGTAAATAAATTTTTAAAATAAACAAAAAACAAAACAACAAATTCTTCTTGAATCTTAGGAAATCAGACAAAAGCAACCATCCATATAAACTGAAACAGAAAAAAATTAAATGCAGTAACTTCAAATCATTTTGTTTGTCTTTTAGACATTGCAGCAGCCCTCATACTATCATTATAATACTTTCTTATTATTAATAGTAGGCAAATTTCAACTAAATGAGAAAAGACGTATGTTTTATGTTCTTTATATGTAAACCAGAGATGGCTTGTGGCCTAGTCTGTGAGGAAGCTGGCTCATCCTATATACTTTATACAAATATATATTTCTATTATGTAATATTTCTGCTTTTTGAATTCTTATAGACATATTTTTATTAAGTATATAGGGTGTGCCTTTTAAAAGTAGTCTCCTCATAGACTAGGCCACGAGTCGCCTCTGATCTAAACCATTTAAAATCAACATGGTCTGGCAAAAAAGTTTAATTTTTTGAATGTTGTCAATATGACCCAAAAGTTGTGAAACTATTTCAAGAATTTTTGAAAGAAATGCAATAACATTTCTTTGTACATAAATAAAACGTCTTTTATCATAATTTTCTTTAAAATAAGTAAAAGTATCGATGGTCTTCTAACATGTCTGTAAATTAACTTTACACTCTTTGCAGTCAAAACTATTAAGTTTCTTAATAAACCCTGCAACATAACTAGTGGCCTGACTCAAATTCTGCTTCATTTTTTAATTTTATATATATTATTAAAATGAACTTTATCCTCACAGGACTCTGTTTGGAGGTGTGATAACAATATTACTAAGTACTACTATCTTTGGTGTATCTGGTTTTGAGGATGCTAAAGCAAGGTAAAGCAAATCTTTTAGCAGTCTTGAACGATTTGTGTTTGTAAACAATTTTGTATCAAAATATGATTTTCTCATAATGTATAATGATTGGGGTTGTAAGTGGAATGTTTAAAATACGACACCATTCCGTTTTTTGATCAATATCAGAAGGAAATTTAAAAATGTTTGTTCTTAAAATTTACGTTTGGAATGGGCCTTATAAAATGTACTATAACCATTAGAAATTCTGCGTTTATAATGAATTCTGCCTAGTAAAGACATGTTAAAGCATCAAAATACCTTTACTTGATTTTAAATAATCCTAAATAACTTATATCTAAAAAAATAAAAGTAGTTCCACTCACATGTTTTCGTCCTTCGTCGACAACGAAATCATGACATAACCACACATTTGTTTGATTTTGATGTTATTTGTTGACAGCGCGCGCGGGGCCCGCTATAGCGGGCAGCCAGCAGTCATGCAGCGGACAGAAAGCCATCTTCACATAGTACAAATAACTAAGTGAAGGTATGTTTTTTTTAGTTTGTTGTAATATATGAATTAAAATTTTTGAAACAACACTTTTTGTGTGTTACTGAACGAGATGTTATTAAATTAATCAATGTGCTTTACATTTTAATACAATTTTGCTATTGTAAAACGGACTTCAGAGCACCCAAGCGCGGAGGAGTATGCGCAGAAACGTGTTTACGTATTGTGCATATGATATAAACCCCCGTGGACAGTCGACAGTGTTAAGGCCGTAGTATCACTGTATTTTTCATATAAGAAGCAAGGGTTCACCATTTCCGATTGCATTTAAATCCCGCTAAATGTATTAAAATGAATCTTCTACCAGCTTAAAGTATAAGGTTTGGAGAATGAAATCTCCTATTTTTTATTTGTCCTGTTTTATACACTGAATTTTAAAAAAAAATCATAAAAAGTCATTTTAAAACCAGATGCTAAAAAGTAGGAGATTTCATTCTACATATTTTTCCAAGTATCCCGCCAAAATATTTCTAAATTTTATTGCGTATTTTTCAAATCTAACTGGAAATACGACTAACAAATATTTGATAAATTTATTTGTCAAATTAGATATTTTCTATGAATTCCTGTAATTGTGTGTAGTTCATGTAGTTAATCTATTTTTAAGAAGATGTCATCGTAAAAACAATGTAGCTACTCTGTTTTAGAGATGGTTTTAATAGGTAAATGATTGTTTAGAGGTACCAATTTTTGAAACAGTGATACAGCTGTATGCCGTCTTTTATTGTTTCGTGATTTTCATATATATTTGTCTCGTTTGGTTCCAAATTATCGATTGATTTTGCCTGTGTATGAACAAGTGTTGTCCACGTTGCCAGATTATCGATTTATA